CGGCTTTGGGGGAGGCCGGGCTGCATCCTGACCCCTTGTCCCTCACCGTGCGGCCTTGGGGGGGAGGCCGGGCTGCGTCCTGACCGCTTGTCCCTCACCGTGTGGCTTTGGGGGAGGCCGGGCCGCGTCCTGACCGCTTGTCCCTCACTGTGCGGCCTTGGTGGGCCTCCCTCGTCCGTCTCTGGGGCCCACTCAGCACTGAGATGGAATTCTGTCTAGGTAAAGAAGAAAGCAGTGTTCCCCCTTCCCCCGCCCCGGAGGTAGAGAAGAGGTGCTCTGGGGGACACTTGTTTAAGACACGGGTGGGGATGGGGTTGGGCAGCGAGGGCTTCTCCCACTTGGAGGGGCCTCAGCCCTGGGACAGTCCCTGCTCCTGACCCGCCTGCTGCCCGCACCTTCCGCCTGCCCTGCCCCCACCACGCCCGCCTGTGCAGGAGAGCAGCCGGCGGACTTGGCCGTGTGGCAGGTGGAGTCATGGTCCCTCTGCTGACGCTCATGAGCTCTTGCCGTGCACGTGTCCTGTTCGTCCTCGGACCTGCTTCGTTGTAAACGGGCGATTCCGCTCAGAGGTTTCCTGGCGGGTTTTCAGGTGGTGAAAACCTTGGAGAGGGGGCGTTGCTAAGCCAGACACGCGGAGGAGCGCCCCAGGGCCGTGTGGTCAGGCGTGCCCGGTCCAGCGGACACAGCACCGGCACATGTCAGGACCCACGTCGGCCTGCCTCTTCACAGAGCAGTGGTGGCCTGGACTCTTGTTCTGCCCGAGCTCAGACGCCGCAGGACCACTGCTTCTGTGCTCGTCCCTCTCCGTCCAGAGCGCAGGTCATGCCGCGGCGGGCGTCCTGCACCTGTGCTGCCCTGTGCCCTGTGCCCTGTGCCCTGTGCCCTCACCTGCAGAGGAAACAGGAATGAGGACACATCAGGACACGTCAGACTAGTGGGGAGGGAGTCCTTTCCAGCGATGGACAGCTTGCTGCCTGGGAACAAACACCTTACCTGAGAGTGAATCCTACGTAAATTGAGGTTTAGTTGTAAACGTGAAACGGTAAAATCGCAGGAAGAACGAGGAAGGTTGTTTAAGAATCTTGGAGCAGGAGGTGTTGCTAAGCCCCACAGCCGAGAAGCCCCAAGAGCAGAGCGAGCCCCGCAGCCGAGAAAGGACACGGGGAGACACAGATGTCTCCCTTTCTCTGCGTGGAGGTTCATCGCCCTCCTGTGGACAATTCAGCCAGAGAAGACTGACAGCCCCTTCGATGGCGCGCAAGGAGAGGCCGGGGTTCCTGGGGAAGGCGCAGTGCGGCCGGGCCGCAGAGGGAGCCTCGGGCTCGGTTCTGGAACCCCGCACCCTGCTGTGAAGGGGTGACTAGCTCCTGTGAGGTGGGTTGGCCCTGTGAGCCTGGGGGTCGGGGCGGGGCTCCGAGTGCTGTGAGGACACGTGATGGACGGGCCTGAAGGATGCGCGGCTCCCCCTGGAGGCCGTCACTGCAGGACAGGAAGTGCCGGGCCCCGAACCAGGCCGGAACCAGGTCTGCTGGACGGGGGCACACCCGACCAGCGGTCTCTTCTTGATGTCACCCTAGAAGGGCCGCAGACGGGGCTTCCGCCGCGCTGTGTAAAGCGGAACGGGGAGCCGGTCGGTAATTCATGATCGACCACAGCCCGACCTCCGCAGCCTCAGGGGCAGAGGCGGTCGGTCGCACGGGCTGCTGTGGGGCGGCTCCTGCGCGTGTTCGTGGTCAGAACGGTGTCGGACGGTGGGCACAAGAATCACACTTGTGTAAAAATGAAGCTTGCACATGCGTGTGCGCCCAGCTGGGCTGGGGGGCGGGGCATCCAGGGAAGTGGTGGCGCCCCGGAAGGTGGAAGCGGGGGCTGTGGCTGAGGGACAGGGAAGTCCGTGGATTTTCCTGTTTCGTAATCTGAAAACACCCGTCTGTGCGGACGTGGCTGTGAATAAAAGGCCATCGTGACGGGTCGGAGCGGAGGCCTCATCAGTCTGCTCCCATCGCAGCTCCACGCTCGGCCTGTGAGCTCGGCAAGCTCTGGCCGCTGTGCCTCCGTGTCCTCATCTGTAAGCGAGGAGTGAACAGAGCCCAGCGCACAGGAGTGAGCATGCAGCACCTCCTCGCCGCCCTGCAGCGCCCGGCAGTGGGCGCGGCTCTGACCCTCTCCTCCTCGGACGGCCGGTTCCTTGGGTGCCCGCCCTGTGCCGGCTGCGGCGATGGTCACAGCCGTGAGCTATGAAGTCCTTTGTTAGGGACCTGGGGCTTGTCTGCCTGTCCTGCACCTTGGATGGCCACGGAGCCTGCACATTCGCTCGGAGTGGGCAAGGGCGTGCGGCCAGCCTGGGTGAGCAGTGTGCCCAGGGCCCTGCTGACCCGGCCCAGGTCTGTGCCCCCGCCCCGCCGGAGCCCCAGCACTGCCCAGCTCCCCTGGGTGCCGCTCAGGTGGGAGCTCCAGCTGGCAGACCTGGCTGCTGCTTCCCTCACCTCTGGCGGGCACACACCTCCCGGGAGGCCCATGTCCACTCCCTGGTGCCTGAGGCCACAGAGGATGTGGACGGAGCCAGGAAGAGCTGCCCTGACGCCCTCGGCCCCCTGGCCTCCGGT